ACAACCGTTCACGAGAGGAGTAAATAGTATTCGAATAACCTAGGAACACGTTGTTCGATGTACTACATGCATACTCTCAAGACGGAAGTACTCTAGCTAAACACAAATTGTTCCCTTGTCGACTGAAAACATATAAGATCATAAGGCAAATACTGAGCTTCGCAAAAGTGAGAAAAAGAAGTCAAGCTGTGTTGAGAATGAACATATTTAAAGCTATCTACACGATATTTTATACTGTTCACGCAAATGAATTTTATAAGGGCGTGTCGAACTTCTGTATTCCAGCGTTGGGCAATGAAGGCATCCAATATACTTGCCAGCGGCCAATGAGGACATGCAATATACTTGCCTGCTTTCTTCTGCATCTACTAGACAGCTTCTCCAGCGGCAACTGTAATAAGAAACCGTCGGCACCTTCAAGCATACACTTTCAATTCTAACAAGAATAATCCTAGGCCTCGTTCCCTGGATGTTCCAAGTGGTTCTGTGCAACCGTTTTATTGCTCAAATTCAGAAGGTTCCGCTTTCATGTTCTTTCCGCTTCAGAAAAGCTGTGATGGGCGAACAGTAGATGCTGCACAAATTTATTCTTGAAATTGGAACTACGCGGATTGCAGGTCGCAAGACCTGTGCGCAATGCGGCAGTATGCCAATCTAGATAAGGATTTAAACAGTAACCCAAACGAGCATCTTCACTCTTTTGTAATGTCCTGCGATGAATTGATAATTTTTGCAAATGCAGGTGCTGCCACCAATGCAGACGAGAAATTCAATAAAAAAAGATATAGATCACAATACTATAGCCTCCGTTGGCTGTATATCCTTAAAAGATCCAGGGGTGCCGGCCTATTACCACAAAAAAAAAACATCTCTAAGCCGCTGGCGTCCTTGGAATTGGGTACAGTTCTCAGAGCTCCGTACAGAAAGCAAATCTCTTCAGCCTGTTGCTGAGCTGCATCATGCTGACAGCAATCGGTTGCATGGTCGAGCAGCTTGCCACATCCTCAAGATGCCATATATTTGTAACACACAGTATAATGAACAGAAAACCCAAACCAAAGCCGTTCTTTGTGCAAGCACCATAAAAATAGTGGTTTTTTTGGTTTTAGCTACACTACCTATTTATTCTGCAGCAATGTAAATAAATACATATATTAGCTTGAAAACCTTCAACGATAGCTGTTAGAGTATATCGAGCACTGCCTGTGTACCTCACCTGAGTTCGAGCCTATCGTCGACCCTGTCTATGGAGGGTTAATCGTATGTTGTGACTGGATTTCGAATGTCAAAATCATGGCACAGTAAATAAGCTGCCATAGTATATTAGACCCTATTTATTTACACGGTACTACTTTGCTGCTAAACGAACCTCATTACCCCCCCTATTCTTACCCAACCTAGGTAGCGTTTCCTTTACCATCGTGTCTCCAGACGTTGCATAATGCCCTTACAGTAGAATATATTTCTAATGGTACATGCTCACTACAAACTGAATCACCGAAGTATATTGCAACAGTAGAGTTTGCATTCGAAAATATACGGCAGCCCACAGCCTGCGCTACCTCCATAGGAGAGCAGGAGCAAGAGCAGCCGTGTAAACAGCTCTCGATGCAGGTGAATCCAAGCAAAATGAACACACTGTCCCAGCATACGCTAGCGTTTGAGGTTTTCAAAAATTTATTCTGCTGTATTTCCTGCTTCGGTTGTCATGGCAGCAAGGTCAAGGCGTTTTAACAGCTTTCTGTAGGGGCTCATACACATAGGTCACCAGGGCAACCCCACACCAATTTATTACTCATGGGAATGAGCCGAATGCGGCTCCCAGTCTCATACAGGTAAATTGCATCGGTCAAAGGAAGCATGCAGTTGTATTTTAGGGCGTTCCTGGTGAAAAGAGCGCTGTACTCTCCAAGGACCCTGCCATTGGCCTTGGGAATTTCGTACTAACTGAAGTGTTTCGCAACGTGTGTAGCGTGGAGAGCATGGGTATTGCCTACGGGCTATCCTATCTTCCATATGGCTTGAGTCAACTAGTATGCTTTGCTGCTAATCTTCGCAACCTGCAGAGCTTTGAAAACTCGGAGTCAATGTTAAGGCAAATGCAGTCGCTGCAAAGGATTAAGTCCAGTTCCTCATGCCAGTTACTCAGAGGTTCGTCTCCGCAAATGAATAGGCATTATGCATTGGACTGAGTGGAATTCGATGGCATCTGGATCCCTAAGGCATGCATGAATCCACATGGACGAAGCTTCTTTACAACAGTTTAAGCACCAATGGCTCAACCGAATGTCGGTTGGGCCACTGCCAGTAACACGCAGCCGCACCGCAAATTTTCCGCGTAGCAGTGCGTGAGAAAGCCAAAGAGGAATATACGGCAACAGACTACGGCAGCGGATGTCCAGGTCTCTGGAGAAGGCCAGATGCAACAGATGGAAGCATGCACTAATCGGTTCTAAACCAAAAGCTCACAAACAACGGCACAAAGAACGGATTCCTGCTTACAAGTTAGCGAGATAAACAGTGGCAAACACTGCCCAAGCGTGCATCCCAGTGGAGTTTGCTTCGTGTCTCCAGCCGGTACGTGGGTCAGTAGCAAACCGCTCAACAAACCCCTGTGGGGTATATTTACATTCACTGTTGCAGCTCCGCAACCTATAGTGTCCGTATTGCACTTGCAGAGGACCTCGCCTGCAGGTACACGCATAAGACCGCCCGTGTGGAACACAATCATCGGACCACCGCAATCATCGGATTGCGGTGGTCATACATTACGGTGTGCAAGGACGTGTCATAGAGGTCATGATTACAACGCGACCCGCTAGGGGCGGGCAACCTTCATGTAGCCCAATACGATTCGATGCACCTGTACCGTGCATAGGAACACTGTTGCTTCATTTAGGTCATCCTTTGCTATTCATTCAATGGTAATTCGAGCAGATTCGATCAAATCCCGTGCGACAGCGGCAATTGCAAGGCCACGGCAGAGCACTGTATGCATTTGTCCGCCTTTTCCCGCACCGATGCTACGCTCGCCCTACTGCCCAAATATCCCTGGAACTGTTCATGGCTGTTCTTGGCTGTGGCCTATTTACGTTGAACCGGCATATCATGGCGTTGCTAGTAGGTACGTTGTCTTGAACACATATTGTACGCAAATCACCTTCCCCTAATGGGGGTAGGTTGTCGCCATCCTTGAAGCGTGGCAGATTGTGCAGGGCTAGAATTCTGCATATAGCTTCGGATAGCCTATAAAAATTCAGTAGGCCCAACAGCCTTCAATAACCACTGTATGTAGGCAATGGGCTGTGCACCGCCGACTATGGAAACGACGCGTTTTATCATGCTCACCTGGTATTGCCTCGATCTGGCCTTCTGACTGCGGAGTTTCCTGGTTGCCGCTGGTCTCCGTTATTTTTTGTGTACAGCTGCAACAGTTAACGCACCAGGCTGCAAGGGGGCCCATGGCGTTTGCACGGAAGGAGGTCCTAGAACTTAACCGCAGGATGCTGTCAGTCTAAATGCCAGAAGCTCGTCAGTGTCAGGTGTTTCTCACCTCATTTGAGTCACGGTGGCCCAGCCGCTGCAGCTTCACCGTTATCAGGGGGATAACCTCGAAATGCACTGATAAGGAGCTTCCAAAATCCACCGTTGGGCTTCTGTTCAGCAATTATTGATAATTCTTCGTCTAGCGGATGTCTGGCTATGTAGGCTTCGCCTCCTCTGTTTTTGGTTAAAACGCCAGAGAGCGTACACAGTGGCTCCGGAATCACCATTGTCGGGTCTCCGCTTCTAATCGCGAAATAGCTGTGACAACTGTTGCTGTCATAGAGTGCGCTGGGAACGAAAACGCAACACCAGTTTTGCAGAAACTATGGGTTCTACATACCGGAGAGCCGCCGCAACCCATAATCAAGTCACAAACAAGAGAAACCGACGGCTGGTGTTTACTTGCGCGTTTCATACATATGCACATATTTCTTGATGCACCTTCGGTCATACTCTACCGCCTGTGCGCTAGCCTTCTGTGCTGTGGACCTGGGTTCCATTTCTCATGCCCTCTCCCCCAGTCAAGGAATGCTTTCCAGTATAAGGCATGTCATTATGTCCTGGCGTCCTTGATGGACCGGCCCAGGTCTCTGGAGCTGGTGTGTGGCCAGACAAGGGTACTTGACCTGTACTCCGGTGTACTCCAAGTTGAGTGATTTCCAGCAGTTTATGCAGGCGTAACAAATGATGTTGGGTTCATTAGGCTGGGATATACTTCACTTTATACTGACGTAGGCTACACTCCAAAGTACGCCACCAAGAGGGATTGGAAAATGTCTGTGAACACCCTCGTTCCTGGTACGTTTCATGGAAGCGATCAGGAAGACCTATTGTGCTCGACGGCAATTCGTTACAGAGCAACATCGAATTCGACGGCAATTCGTTGCATAGCAACATCGAGTTCGCGTGGCCAGCACAGGAACGCATTGGCCTGGGGCTGCCAAGAAGAATTGCGCAGCATGTACTACTACAAGTGGTTAAAAAATTCGTCCCTATATAAACTTACATACAACTGCTCCCACTCCCCTTTTTGTCCCATGTAGATATGTGTACGCAACGGCTGAACACTGAGCATACACACAAATATTGATACACAGGCAAATAGCTAACTCCACTAGTTGCATGCGCTGGCATCCTTCCGTGAGTGTGCTTGCTGCAAGTACAATAAGTCCCTGATGTGTGGATGGTGCTATGCGATTTGTGCCTCGATAAGGAAACCATAGGCGCTGTCTCCTTGTCCAAAAGCTTCAGGCGTCTTTGGGACAGCTTCCAGCAATAAAATCATTTGTTAGGCCTTTTTTTCAGTTTCCTGAACCGTCTTCATGCGAAAAAAGAACTACAAGGGCTTTCTAGTTTTGCAAAACTAATATACTAGAGAAGAAAGTTTGTTTCTTTCAGTTTTCGTTGGCTAGATACGATAGCCGATGGGTAGGTCAGTCAGACAATGCATGCCTTTATTCAGGAGCTGGTCTGGCCTGTTGGCTACTTGCTCCTACCGTGTGCTGCTGAAGGCGTATTGCAGGCAGCGTGGATATTCCTGATGGAAAATGGTGCGACAATAGTTGCTGCTGTTGCCCTCTTGTGCGAAACCCCTCCAGAGGCAGGAGCACTTGCTGCTGTTGTGGCTGCTCTGGAGTATCACGTCCTCCGGTGGGATTTGTATTCGATGCAGGGGAAGCAATGGCTCTGAACAGATGCTCCTGCGTCAGCAGGTGCTGCTGAGAGTTGTCAACCAGCTGCTGCTGCGATGATTGCACCAAGTGGGACTGAGGAATCTGAAATTGGTGCCGCTGTCCGTCGGCCTGAGCGCTGGGTTGTGTAATCAGTTGTTGCGCAGTCATTACCTGCTGGTGTTGTACCAGGAGTTGGTCGGAAAATGTGTCGTGGGAACGGTTTGCTTTAGATGTGTCCCGTTCACTGTCTAAACAGAAGTTTCTTTGTCGCTTGAGCCCTAAAGAAGCACCTCCGCTTGATCGACATGACATGATAGTTCCTCGTTGGAACTTGAGGCGCAGAGACTCCTCCACTGCCTGCATGGCGTCGGGGTCGGCGTCCTCTGGGCACATATTTGGAACCATTGCCAAAACGTCCTGCTCAGCTGAAGAATAATAGGGAAGCAGAAAAACCAAGAAAAGTGGTCGCGATGCATTGCCTGCTGGTTTACTGAATGCCTGGAATACGGAAAGTGCATATCTCACATGAAGAGTGCACAGTAAATAGCAACAGAAATGCAAACTCTCTATGCATTTTTAAGCAGCAGCCAGACGGCCGTAGCATCTTGCGTTTGTGCATGAAGATTAGCGCGGTTTTCCTTCTGTACCTTTAAGCTCGCTTGCAAGCGCTTCAGGAGACAGAGCAGCCCTCCACATCTCAATCTTCTCAATAGCGCACAACCTGCTTTTTACGAAGCCGTGTTTTTTTACTAGAAACCTGCGGGCCTCTCCCCTCATCTGGGCTACCCAGGCAAAATTTGCAGCTTCAAAGCGAACGCCGTGAACATAGGGTAGTTCCATCGCTCTGCGGCTAAGGCGGGCAACACGGCTGGCTGAAAAATCCTGAGCAAGGAAAGTGCAGGCCGATAAGGGACCAGTGCCGGTATTTCAGAGGTTTCGGAAGGACGAAAATAGTTCGTATGGCAAACTAATACGAATGCCACAAAATGAATGAGGATAGCTGAGATGCACTAGCTACCAATGAATTTTGCTTACGCTCTTGGGAAGAATGAACTCCTGGTTGTTGCTCTTGGCCAAATTGAAGGCTCCTCCTGGAGGCCCAGCAAGACCTATAGTCACTTGCGGAATTGGCGTGACAGCGCTCCCTGCTTTCCTGTTTGTCTCCTTAGAGGTTCGCGATCCACTCCTGGAGCAATCTTCTGTTGCCTCACCAGCCTTCCCTTTGGCCCCCCGATCGGATGCCCGCCTGGAGGAACACTGTCGACGGCCTGTAAAAAGAGCACAAGCAGAAGTGGATGACCTTACATACTACCATAACACGATTTTCAGCCTGTCGTAGAGGTTGTCCTACATCCTAGATCTGTTGAATGGGTCTAGAAGAGCCAGTTCAGCTGGGCAGCATCATTTTATAAAGTGCTTACTGCGACACTGCAAGGTAGACGTACAGTGAGTTGCATATTGCTGAGCAGTCTTTTTCGCCCCCTCAAAGCCTAAAGTTGCTACTGAAAATGCTCTGCTTTGCTGTAGCAAGCCTCGTGCGCAACAAACCACCCAAGCCCCCATCTGCGGGGAGAAGGTCACCTGGACGTTCCCGCGTTGTGCCCTTCCCTGGGCAAGCCCATCCGCGGATATTACTAACCCTAAGTCTGCTGGGCTTGTGGAGCACCCGCTAGAGGAGCACCGATTGCTTTGCGCTGTCCTCACAAATGGCAGGGCATTGTCAGGACTTTGGCAATGTCCATTGCTAAACAGTACGTACGGAGATACGGGGACCCCCATCCCCTGGTTGTTTGTTGCATTTGATGTACCGTCACGAATCCACTCAAGCGAACCTGGAGAAAGAGCAAGACTAGCCGATCCCCCCTCCAGAAGAGCCCCTACCGCGCAGCAGCTGTTTGCAGTAACAGGTGACCCAGTGGGTGCTTCCGTGCTCTGGTGAATTGCTCCTCCCCCGGAACTTCCAGACAAGGAAAGGGTATTGCTCAGACCTAACGGTGTCCCTCCAATCAGATTGTGCAATCGTATGCCAATTGCAGTCCCTGAAACTGGAGACAATCTCAAGCCTGCCGCTGGTGGCGCTGATACACCGCTTGTGCCAGTACCATCAGAATTCCATGGCAGCGCCAACTTGTCCTTGGAAGGAGGGAGTCCTGGTGCCCCGCCAGGATTGTCGTTTGTTGCTGTAGCCACAAACGTATTAGGGAGTGGGGGCTGGAGTGGGCATTCGGCCACTGCTGTAGGTGTACCTACGTTAGCTGAGTTGCTGCTGCTGGTTGGTGGTCCATCTACACTGAACGCGTCTACTGATGACGAAGGAAATCCTGCGTTCCTAACGGCCGTTTGCTCAGGTCCCGCCTCGCATTGCCCTGTGGGCAAAGTTACACACGAACGGCTCAGCATCAGCATCAAGGGATAATAAACAGTTGCAGCAGCCGGAGACTCGCATATTTTTACCTGTAGAAACGGAACAGCCGTTTGTTGCCTTCTCCCCCGACATAGCAGATGTTGTTATAGACGGTACGTCAGTATCAACGTGGGAACTAGGGGGCGACGAAAAGGATGAAAGGAAGAATAAGTTAGTACTGCTGAACAACATTGATGTGCGGGAGGCTCCTGCTGCAGCTGCTGTGTTACGCAAACACACGTTCACTGGTGAGATGCTTGTTTCTGGACAGCCGTTCAAGGAAGTTGCTTCATCGTCCCCATCAGGTCCCCCAATAGTGGACGACTGCAGGAGTGGAGGCCATCGCTGAAGAATATGCTTAGCCTGACGCAGTCGAGTCGGTTGCTGCTGATGACTGTTTCGCAGCAGCAGCAGCTGAAGTCTGACGTGCTGGAGAGTGGCCGGCTCCTGACGAGAAACCTCAGAAAGGGATAGAGACAAGAATGAAGAAAAGATCTGGAGGTATTCACTCAGCTCACTCAAGGAGCAAGCATCTAGGTGCTCCTCATGAAAATATTGCTGCCCTTCCCAACTCTCTGCAGCTCCATCAGGAGTACCCAAGTGCAGCAGCGACGATTCCCTGGAGCTACCGGCAAGTTGCACTGTTGCTGTGCCCCTGCGAGCTGTGCCTGAGACAGTCGCAACCTCAGTTGAGTCTTCTTGAGACTCCGTCGTTCGGTCTTGGGGAGATGCTTGGAGCAGTTGAGGATTTGTAGTTGAGGACCTCCTTGTTCCATTACCTTGTTTGGAGGCAGCCATCAACGACCCATATTGGGGCTTATGTTTATAGGTCGACAGAATTTCGTGCATCTCCACGGCTCCAGAGCATTGGGCATACTCACTTTGGCTCCCGTTGATGACGCTTTTTAGGCAGCATGGTGCGGAAGTCTGTTCTTCGCTTAGGCCTACTGAAGCCCCGCTTCCAGTAACTGTTTCGCGGGCATACAACGCAGCATCTGGGTCCTTTTGAAAGGCATTGGCGTCGTGCACAGGGGAACTGGTAGCTTGACTTTTCCCATGCTGCTTATTGTACATTATTCGTATTAGTGACCGAAGATGCCTACGCAGGGCCGTCAGAATTACAGGCATATTTCCAGCTGGCCGTGCTGATGCTGGAGGCACTAAATGGGGCCTCAGGTACATGGCTTGCTGCTGCTGTTGTTTATGATGCTGGGGCCATGAACTAAGGGAACTAGAACTTGCTCCCAACGAAAAAGCAGAGGGAAGAAGGGATGGCCCTCCAAGACCAGAAAAACGCTGCCCTACAGCCCCTGGAAGGGCGGATGACGCAACCGCTGCGCCACCTGGGAGGATAGGGGTGTGACTATTGGTTCCAAGGAATACTGAAGAAATAAAACATCCTACACTTCCAAGAGCAGGCCCCCGAGTCTCCCCCGCAATAGAGACCATTGGCAGTCTTGGTGCATTGCATGCCCAGGGGCGTCCGCCTGATGTTCCCGTGTTCCCTACAGTCCCAGCGCTTCCAAGAGGAACCACATACGGGAGGACAGGTGTTGTAGTAGAAACCTGGGGCGAAGAGCTACACGGGAGAGAAGTTTCACTTGCAGGAACAGGTGGAGGGCACTGGGAGCCTTCGTTGATGGCAGTGGGGGATATCTTCAACTTCCGTGGAAGGGACGCGCTGTCTACTGGCGGGCGAGACGCCTCCGGAATCCCGTCGCTGGTCGAGCTGGAGTCTTGGCACTCCAGTAATCCTTCGCTTTGCCCATTGGGGGGAAGCGGTAGCTCCGGCTCAGGCTTGACAGTTCTTACCAGCGAAAAACAATTCGCACTGCTGTCCCTGCTGCTCCCCTCAGTCGTTGTTTCAGATGGAACAGGTATAACTGTTTCTTCTGTGTATTCTGCTTCACCCTCGCTTTCTGCTTTCTCTGTTTGGAGTACGTCCTCCTCCCCGGACCCTAATCCAATGGGCCCCTGAAGGAGTAGGGACTCGTCGGAGGACGTTTTTAAGTGTGCTTCCTCACAGCCTATGGGTGCAGAACCCTCAACAGAGTGCCTCCAGTGAGGAGGAGAGGTCGTAGAGCCCCACATAGAAAAAACAACGGACGACAACCCAGTTGTTCGCACTACAACCACACACGCAAGCAGCGTCACAGTTCAACGCAACATTAGCAGGTGCTGAGGGAATGCGACCTATGTGCAACCTTGCTGCTTCCAGTGTAGGCGGCACACATTCCCGTTTTGTCCTTAGGCTTAAAGCAAACCTGAACAGGCTACTGCATCTTTAGTTAAGCTAGTTCTCTCGTAGGGTGACCCTTACGCACCATCCCAGAACCCCGATACTACTCTATGCAGGGAGAAACGTTACTAACGTTGAGCTTGGCGATTTCAGCAAGCGAAGGAACGGCTTGAAAATCATCTCGTCCTATACGTAAGCTGGTGACGGGGAAAAAGTAAAGGAAGTGACGGGTTCTTCCATCTTGGCGTAGGAAAGTGGGGCAAGTTCGGTTAGCGTAATTCTCCAATGTTGTTGCGTGATGCGCTCAGCAGGTGAACCAGGGACTGAAGGGACTTTGGTGTCTTGCCACCCTTTTAGCGGATATACGCATGGTGAGAAAGGCACAAAAATCCCCGTGAGCCCAAGTAGGAAGGGAACTGCTGCACACTGTACCACCGAGCAATGTCGAGTGATGCTTCAGCTTCTCTACTTTTCCAGTGTGGGGAAGGGTATTTTCACGTATGTCAATTGTACGTTCCTGTGTATGGTTACGAGAGGGGACCAACGGTTATCACTGTTTCGGCGTGTGCCGTTAGCCGAATATAGTGGTACAATGAAACACCTAATGGAATCAACGTGCAGGAAAAAGCAGTGGCGAATCCGATCTATGGCTGACAATGACAGCACGCGCGGCCAATCTAAGCGGAAGAACTGAAAAAAAACTCCCGATGATGGACGGCGGAATGATAGTTTGAGGGAGGCAAAATATGAGGTAGCGCGGCGGAATGATAGTTTGAAGGAAGCAAAATATGAGGTAGCATCACCTTTGCGCAGCCCCTACATACCTCCGGACTATAGCAGTGCAAGTTCTTGCAGAGCTAAGCACCCTGCCTGGAGGTTTGTGGACTGCTCGGAGTGGCCATGATGCATGTACGGGGTCCCTTATATCCTCCCTTCCCGTCTACAGTTGGGCATAGAGTGGAATGGGGAGGTAGTCGCAGAGAGGATTTTCGATGCCACAATAGCTAGTCTAACTGAGGATACGGGATGCCGCTCCCACCCATGACTTCTGATTCAACGAAAAGTCAAGAGTGCTGACACCCGTGGGTAAAAAGCATTTCCAGAACAGCGTGTCTCAAAAGCCTGTATCGCACCTACCCAGCCTCAAGGGTATATTGCGTGGCATATTGTAAGCTTACATTTTATTATGAAAAATAGGGGCGATTGCCGAAATAGAGAGCGTAGTCAGGCTTCTGAGAAATGGGTGAATATTGGACATCCACTGAACGAAATCTCTGCCAGTTGCGAAATGTCTGCCAGTTGCTCCAAGCAGGCCGTGTAAAATATGTTCAGGCGAAACACTCTTGCCGCATGCAGTAGTTAAGCTTCTTCTACTACTAAAAATAACAATCGCTTGCTGCCATCAACGCCTGCCGTGGCTTTGTCAATAGATGTCAGCGCCTGCGTCTGTTCTCTTGTGTGCTTAATGTATGGGGCTGCGGCTCAGCCCCAACGAGCTTTGGTGTCCACGTGTCCCACACGATGTTAACAGAAGATATTTGACATACATTTACAACTTACAGGATACTATTCAAGTACCCTAGCGTGTCCATCGAGATCCTCTGTTGTCTAGCAGGTACTGTATGTGGGTTTTATCTATGAGTGGTATCTTTGCAATGGTTGTTCCAGCAGAGCGTGACAAGCATTTCCCAAAGTGTAAGGCACTACATCTGTTTATTCCAGAGCTTGGAAGCATAGCCGATTCGTGTTGTCCTTTGTGGCCTAGATATCGAATATCAACACGTCTGCTGCCCGCTGGGGTGCGGCGGCAGCACGCTAAGCAAGGCCTTTTCAATCAATACATCCGATACCAGGGTGAACTTAGAACAAGCACAGGGAAAAACCTTCCCAAAATTCCAATGAGAGAGCTCGAATGGCTCCATCGGATTCCATTCCTAAGTAGTTCCTACTACGCGGATGGCAATTCAACATCCTAGCTTGGCCTCTTGGCGGGTGATATCTCAGTAAAACCGAGGGGATCGCCGTGGACATCACGTGACTGGGGATTTTTCTTTAGGCATAGACATTAACAGGTCTCTTGCTTTTCTTGCACCACAGGGGCGTACATATCCTGCTACTAACCGTCTATGTTCGCTACAGAGTTGGTCAACTTGGCCCCACATCACTTACTAACGAAGTCCTCACACCAGCCAGCCGCACCTGCTTGCGGGGACGTCTAAACGTTAGGGGCTTGTCCGGTCCGCTGACGGAGCTTCAATGCTCACGTTTAGACGCACCCGCAAGCAAGTGAAACTGGCTTGTGGGCGTATTTCTTTAGAAAGTCCATCTAATATGACTGAGAAGGCTAGTACAGCGCTGAGGCGTGAAGGAAGAAAGCCGAACAGCATTGTAGAGTCTCAGGTGGTCCAGACTATTGGCTTGCACGGAACAGCATGCTGAGGGAACCGGGTAAACCTGTTGTTGCTTACCGGTTGGTCTAAGATGAAGCAATGAATCCAGGTTGCCTGGCGTCTCGATTGTAAGAAGTACGATCTCTCACTTTAAGGCGACCTCCATTTTATGGCCAAACTGTTGTCAGCTAGAGCAGAGTGCTTGAGATAAGCAACCTTTAAATGTAGTCGACCCAGCATTCTCTTTATCCGTGCTTCTTTCTGACAGCGGCATAAGCTCCCGGAGCTTTGGGAGAAGAAGCAACCTAATACTCCTTGTTGCAATCCGGTGGGCAAGACTGCATCACTAGTCAGCCTTGGTGGTAAGCAACAACCCTCAAGCAGGAGTCGGGAACAATACTCCGCAGCAACAAAATACAGCTGCATCACGTGCATCACATGCAGCTGTATTTTGTTGCTGCGGAGTATTGTTCCCGACTCCTGCTTGAGGGTTGTTGCTTACCACCAAGGCTGACTAAGGGTCTAACCTGCGCTCCCACAAATCGATATCCATGGTGGACAGTACTGCAATTTTCTACAAAGGCCTAGAAATAGCATATCAACTTCACACCCTTTGCAATTCATATACTTAAAACCTAGAGAGGGCACACTTTAGGGATATCAAATTGGGTACACTACGGAACGCAAGGCGAAGGTGGGTAGGGGCAGAAGTGCTTCCTTCACCTGCTCCGAACAGGCGCATATGCGTCGAGCTGTCGGTTGTGAATTAAAGAGAGATGCCTTGTCTTTTGTGCGAGTCCCTGTTCGCGTGCGTCACTTGCAGATAGCGTTGTATGTTTTGTTGGAACTCATGCAGATTCCTGCTGGACTCATGCATTTCATCTGTGCATACAACAATTCATTTTCCATTTTATGGACTCGAGAAATCACGTTTTGCCTATAGCGCAAAAATTGGCAAACCTATGGACCAGACGACAGAGGATAAACGTAACTGTCATGCTGATAGGGCATTTGGGAATTTTGGTTCATAGCGCCTGTAAATTGGCCCTGAATTCCAGCCTGTGAAGAAAATCACGAATTCAGGGCCAATGCGCCGCCTTTTCTTTATTTGAGGAGTCCCTTGGAAACCCTTTGGCGGCATTCTGCTTGGGACACTGCTTCCACGTCACTTTCCGTAGACGATGCAAATGCCGGCGGGAACTCTCGCATGTGCACTTTGGTAGAGTCGCCAGGAGGGCAAAAGTGTCCTTCGTTGTTCACGGCCTGTCTATGAAAAATTCTGCGGTAAGCCAGTCCAAGGTAAAGACCCTTATTAGGGTAATATGATCCGCTTTTGCACTAAGCCTCAATTGTACGCCAATCGCCCTTCCAATTCACGTGGCTCGTGTGTCGTCTGAGCAGCGTAACCAGGGAGCAAATGAAAGGCCTGGATGACTGCTCATTGCTTCATACATCAGATCCACATGGGACCAGTAATACAAGCAGCATTTGAGCATTAAGAGTAGCTTTAATAGACACTGATAAGTTTTCCCACACTCCTACAATCTCAAATTATGTGATCTTGTTTGCGCCAAAAGAAGCAGATGCCCTTCTTCATGACTTCGTCTTGGCCTTCTGACTGCTAAGTTTGCCGGTGCCCACCGGCAACCGGGCGTTCCTCATCCGTTCCTGTGCGAAGTTGGCATGTGGAGCCCCAACATCCTTCGGCTGAATATCCCTGTCATTTCAAAACCTGGCAGCCCCATTTGATGCATTATGTATTTCATCATCTCGTCAGAGCCAACCTTTTCACCTCTTAGTTCAGTCAGCGCGTCCCACCCGGTTACAGATTGCCGTTATCCTGTGATAACTCTGATATGATTCACTCATAAAGAGGTTCCGAATCCTTCCTTGGGCTTCTGATCAACAGTTATTGATGGTTCTCCGTTTCTATGCACCCGTGTATAGTCTCTTGAAACTCAGCCATAGCCTGCTACGCCGGCGGTCTGTGAATCAACCTACTAAAGGAAATGGTAAAGCTTTAAAAGTATGGATGTGCTCCGGAAAAGTAATATGCTTGCTTAGATATAGCCGCCACTATCGTGCCTCCATATATATTGGTGAAAACGCCAGCTGCTGTTGTTGTAGTGTACGCAAAAGACACTTTTCCCCCTTGTGCGGCCACCCGTGACCAGCAGAGGCGGAGACATTCGCCACGAGTTGACTTTACTGCAAAACCACTTTGACCTTGGTTGGATGGAGACACTGTGCTTGCTGCAACTCGTAAGCGTCAAGCCCGGTGGGGAGAAGGAGAAAGCTTGGAGGCTATCTCTTCTTCTGACACACCTTCGATACTACTCAAGGTAGTGGAATTGACCGCCGTGCTGTGCGTGCGATTGCTTGGTGGAGCCTGTCGTCTCAGCCAGTCGCGATGCTAAATATAACGTGAATCCTCGGCCTTATGCAATGACTACTGAGAGATGCAACAAAGTAACGAGCTACAACGAAGTCAAAATACTTAATACGAAGAAACTCTCAGTTTCTCCATTGCAGCTCAGCTAACCTTCCTCCCCAGTCTCCACGCCTTCTGAACACAGCGACCCAAGCATCGCGACCTGCTGAAAAGGCCACGGCCTAACATGAGTTGCAGCACATTTTGCTGCAACTCAAGGTGCATACTGGCCAGGCATATACGCATAACCAACCCTTCTGCACTGCATGCAGTAACACTGAAACGGTTGTTGGAATATTCTGCTTGCAGGCCGATTATCTGGTTAGGCCGAGTCAGGGTTCGCGTGCCAACGCCAAGTAGAATTTCCAACGTCGGACAAAATGGGTTGCTCCAACACTACTACGGTGGCAGAGGGACTTGATCTCGAGACCTGACAGTACACATAGCTAGGCTGCAGGACCTATCTACAATCCAAACCAAGCGGCCAGACGTATTACTTTGTGTTATATTGAACGGCGCCTCTCTGCAAGGACAAGCCATGTTCTTATATGGAATTGTCGGATTCCAAAATACATGAAAACACTTTTTAAATCATGGGAGAATGTAATGTTCACTCACGCTGCTTTCTATTTTCCACGTTAGTGCTGTTGGCGTGCGCGTTTGCTTGTGCTGCCTGTTGAAGCTTTAGAATGCCATGATTCTAGCCTGCCTACTGCGGTTTGCAAAGTTTTTGGGGCACCGTAAATCCCACTAGTAAGGAAAACAGTTAAAATGTTAGATGCTTCTGTAGTGAAGCGGAATCAACTGCGATTAGATGATTGCAGGAGAAGATGCAGTGAGTGTATATTGTTGTGCGGTTGTTTGCTCTGAAGTCTTCGCTGAAGTCTTGCCTCAGGTAATGCGCATATGGAGGAGCTTGCGATCTAACCTGAATTTCGCCTCAGCTTAATGAAGACTTCACCAGTGTTCTTATACGCGTTTTGTGCAGTACATACTTCTCACAGCCGAAAAGCACCAGCATTTCTTTAGTATGGTAAATTAATGACTTGTACCAGGAGGTAACTCGAGAGCGGCAACGCTTTTTAATAGCCGTCTCTGTTCAGCTTGGCAAAGGTGGCTAGGCAGCTTCATGTGCTTGATGCAGCTGGCGAAGATTGTCAAATATTGTTCAAGGCTTTGGCAGTGCTCAGCTTTCTCGACCAACAATGCATGCTGGTGTAGCACGGACATGTGGAAAATTGATTCTCTTGGCGACAATCCAGAAGCAAGACCACTGAGACAGTGGGTCCGCAGGTCACACAGAAGGAAGCGGATAGCCTCTCTTCCGAGAGAGAGAATCGTTTCCGAATGTGTTTTTAGCACGCCACCTCTGTCCTGCAAGCAGCATTGGCAGTACGTCAAGGTTGAACGTGGAATCTCCTGAGGAAAATTCAAAAGTAAGACTATCGAGAAAATGGTGGAGCACGGCTGCTCCGCTTAGAAGCCACCCAAATCTGCTGTGTTTCAACGGGTATCTGCATCTAGCCATCAGCAGAACACCTGCTCCCTGAAGATGCGGACATTTTCCTCTTGACAAGGTGGGGATTTGCTCTCCGCATCCTCTTCATTGGTACTCGCATCAGCTGTCTCGCAAATTTCATCAGCCTGATAAAAACATATTCGTGAAAGTGGATTGCACCTTATAGTGAAAATCACGCTTCTCCATGACTGTTGCCAATCAAATACATGAAACCTAATAGTGCAGCAGACGTTCTCGTTTCTACCGCTTTTGGAGGTATATTCATGAATGAAAAAGGCTTACCCAGCCGGTTCCGCTGCACATCAGGTTGTCAGCAGCTGGAAGAGGTCCGCTGTCTAGAGTGAAAAGGGCGGCATCAGTGGTGGAAAACTGACAACCCTTCTGTTTGTCTTTCTGTTGAAGAGCCTCGACAACATATTTATTCCACAGATCTTGCACACCTGTTTCTTTGGCCATGTGGGTTCCAAAGCTGTCCACCTCCCCCACGGTGCCTTCTCCACCGCCTGATAAGTCGTGATGCGTGAAAGTTTCCTTTTTAAGCCTTTCGTTTGCTTGTGTGGTGGCTTTCGCCTGTGAACGGAACTTTTCCATTTTTCTACGAGCGTTTACTGCCATTAGGCGAGCTCCCATAAATCCAAAGTGCCGGATTGGAAAATACTCTGCTCGGCGTTTTCCAGACTGCACAATAAGTATGAGCGCACCGTGCTTCACCAAGCCTTGTTATCGAATGGAAAGTCAAAATTTTAGGTAACCAGCTGTTTTGCCAGCACAATTTACCATTTTGCCTATGAAGTACAACTAGCAGTACCTGGACATCTGTAAATGTGCAGGCCCATCGCAGTTGCTTCTTGTCGAACCAGATACCAGGCACACGCGTAAGTCTGGAAGCGTGACGTATGAGCACTCGTGAAGGCTGAAATCAGTGCTCCACAACAGTGCACGACTGGCGCAACTCGTATATTGCCCATATATAAGGACCTCAGTCGATCCTTGGTCGTCAATGACACTCTGGCGAGTGTGGGGAGCTTACCGCTTTCGACAGACGCCTGTCTCTTTCTTCATCATATCCACCGTCCGTCAGTGAACTGAGCGCACTGAGCTGCCTCTTGGCTGACGAATCTACCGTAGCTTCAATTGCTGAGGTGCAATAATGTACAACCCGTAGCGTCATACTTTCGACAATATTTCAAGCTGCAGAATAATCGCACCTCCGTGAAAGAGTTCACCCCAGGTGTGTTTGCAGATGAATCCCCATATGCATTGCCCGTTCCTGGAGAGCTTACGGTTGGACATCGCGAGTATGCTAGATGATACAATTCTTTGATGCTGTGTATTTGAATGATCGCCAGAGGGCGGATCTCCAGCTGAAGCGTTTCCTGGGAGTGAGTCAGCAGCTGTAACGCAAGATGAACTTTGCCCAAACGGAACGTCCGACCCTTGCTGGGGAAGTACATGCAGTTTCGCGCTTTCTGAAGCAGTCTTTTCCTTGTACCTCGATCCTCTCGGGATGTGATTTGTAAGGCGCGTATGTATCGCCAGTAATCTGGCACGATCGAACCCGTATCGTGCTGAAGTACGAAATGTGGAGGCACATAATGTCGCTTATGTTGTGGGGGAAAGACTTCGTTAACTTTGCAGCATTCCTCAAAGAAACAAACCTAACTCCAATGCAGGCAGCAACCCATAGCTTTCGAGAAAAGTGTATGACCTTTGCATAAGTTATTTTGGCTCTCACCTATCGGAAAATACTTCGCCTTTCTGTGGCCCGATATGTCGTACCATGTGGCCTTCCATCTAAGGGAGTGTTTATCAAAATGGATGCCTGGAGTGTGATTCATCTGCTGAAAGTGGTGCATACGCAAACGATCGTATCTCACAATTTTCCCGAAGAGAAGTTCCCTCTCTTGAATGCTGGCTTTCAAGGCATTCTGGTCGCATGAGGCCACTTCTCTACAATCGCCTGTAGAAGGAAGGGCGGCTCCATGCATCCTGTGGGATGGGCTAGCACCACGAAGAGGACTGCAGAGGGGTCGAAGCATTTTCATTGCAGATCGCAGGTCGACAGCTGGAACACCAGCTCGAGAGGGCACTAAACCATTAAGTTCGTGCGAGTGAAGGCTAGGCCAGGCCGAAATCCCCCGCTGAAGGTAAACAAAATCACCAGCAGCTTACTTTCTGGATGAAGGGAACGGCATGATATGCGTGTTAAGAGTCAGTGAAGAATAAGACAGCCAAGCTACGAGCTGGATACGAGGAATAGAAGACAAAAAGGGGGAAAGGTTCGGGGAAGTTCTTACAGGTGCATAGGACATAGGTGCCTTAATCACACAGAATCTGTGCTCTTATGACGAAAATATACCTGGAGATTTATACAGGGAATGCGCTTCTAATATTCCAAGTTTGTGGATAGGAAGGGGCTGCTCATGCTTTTTATGCTTTTGCGCAAGAACTCACTGGATTTGCATGAGCTGCCAGGGGGACTGATGCAACTGGAAGATACGCTTCTGGGAGTGACAAGTGTTCGTAAGAAGGTGACGACGAGGATTGAGGGCTGCGGTTACATTTGGCAGCCATACTCTCTCGGGTACCAACCCTAGAAGCTGCTGACCCGACTGATATGGCTGCCTCCGTGTTACTGTCAACACCGCACAATTCGAGCGAATTTCCGCAACCAAGTTGTTTTGCATTGTCCCTACTCTGATCGGAGTCATGTGGATTCTGAAGAGCAAACGGGGGAGCTGACACGAGCTCCCCAGGTATTTGTGGAATGGATTCCTGTGTCCTATTCAAGAAACAGGCGTCTGAAGTCCCAGGAGTCGGAAGTTTAAGATGATCTATTTCAGAGATTGCGGTGAACGGCCATTGTGAGTGGGGTGGGCGGAAGCAAGGCAAGCTATGCAGCGCGCCGCGAGTGGTCTGGTCAGGGGAGCTTGGAGCTGAAGCGTGATAATCAGGATCAGCAATCCTTTCCTTGATACTGCCAGCAGTATGGGGAATTCTCTGCGACGCTGCTAGCCCTATTTCAATGTTGCAGCTGGGAAATCGGAGTCCGCTTCTAGTAGTGGAAGTGCTTGGAACTTCCGCAGTTTTTCTATCCGACGATGGTTGAGTGTTCGCCGTCACCATGAGAGACGTTGTAGGCAGTGGTATCTCTTGAAAGCACGGCGAGCAAATTCGTATCCTTTCTTGCCACGTGCGGTTGGACAAACTGGTAGGTCCCACAACTGCTGGCTGTTGTTGAAGCGACAAAGTGACTGGTGCATTGGCTGTGAAAGTGACCAATGATCTTTCTGCAAGTGATGTTGGAGCTCCGGCTAGCACAGGTCTGTTGGCGCTGCTCTCACTGCACCTCACAGAGCTGGCTGGGCCTTCTCCTGCATGCACAGTATTCGCCAGTAGAGGTGTCGATGGCTCCAGAGGTACAGCTTTTGTAGATTTGAAGCTTACGGCCATGTCATACCCCTCACGCATCCCGAAAAGTTTAACTGGAAAGTATTTTGCCGCTCGGCGACCATTGTGAGCCCATCCAACAGACCAACGTAGCTGCAAAATAAATACAATCGATGACATCGATTGGAGACATCAATCGATGACGGCACGGCAATATGTAGCAACACTCTGAAAACCCACTGAACTATTTGGCAACTCATGCTATTTCAGAGTAATGGTTCCAGAAGTTTAGGTTTCCGGCAGTATGCCTGCGTACCTGGTGCTTGTCAAAATATATTCCAGACACTTTTGGGTATGTAGCAGCTCGCCGAATCAGCGCATCCACTACCCGTGACCTCTCTCTTTTATACTCTTCTTTAGGGGCACCACCGCGGAGTTTTTCTAGATGATCCAGCCACGCCCGACCATCATCAGCATCGTCTAGGTACTCCACAGACGACATAGCACTACCACAGCGTACGGCGATTCCTCCCTTCGCCAGTCTAGCACTAACATCAAAGGTTTCAAGGCTGTCACAGAGCGATGGCGACTCTCCAAGTGAATGGCAGGTCACCTGTTCCTTAGAAGGTTCCGAATTCCACTGACTATGCAGCCCGCCAGGTATTGTCTTTTCACAGGAGGCTGTCCATGAGGGTGGTGCACTTTGTGTTGTATTGGGGATCCGCCAAGCACAAAAAGAGGAGCATGGGTTGGTTTTCGTTGGACAGTCCTCGACCTGCCTTACTGCTATGCGCTTATTTGCTAATTTCTGATACTTCGTGGGAGAATATAGCTCTTTCTCTACAGCTAAATCCCGAGTACATTCACTGGAAAGGTTTTTAAGCCATCTACAGGGAGCAGAGTCTGTTGCATCCCCAGTTGTGGAGACAGATGAGTCGCTGGTGCAGTCTTCCGCCGAGGGCTCAGCTAAGGATGGCAGCACAAGTATCTGTCCTGGGCATGAACTGCTTTTCGAATATGACGAAGACGGCAAAACTGACAGTTTGCAGTTGGAGTCATGCTCAGAGCCGTATTTTTGTATCTGTCCCTCACTACATCGTGAGGGAAGCGCTGTGTGCTGTAACCACGGTAGAGCAGCTGAGGACAATAGATTGTCTGTTGACTGCTGGCTGGTCAAAGGAGGAGATAGAATCGCGCTAGCTGCCGGAGAGTGCTCAGGACTGCTGAATGGGATAAGGGGCATGTCACAGCTAACAAAAGATGAAACTAGACTTCTACTTGGCTTTGGCGTATCTTCAGAGAGCGAGTATCTAGGGACATTTTGCGTTGCATCTGCCTCAACACTTGCGGAAGTTGCTCCAAAACGAGACGAGGCCAGAAAACGAGAAGGCCCGTCTTTATATGCGTCGCTGCAGGATGGGCTGTACGCCATATTTCGCCCCGGTCACTCCGAAACGCTCAAAGGGACGAGGAAGAAGATGGCGGATAGTTAAACGGGCGCAGAACTCCTTGGCGCCCGTATGACACCTTTATGCACACCCTCTGAGGATAAGGATTTCCTTACTTGCACAAGCAGAGTTTCTGTATGCTGAGCAACAACGTTTCCACACTTACAAGGGCAGCACTAACGCCTCAGCTCTGCACAGGGCCAAGCCACAACAAAGTGCCAATTCAGCCCAACCATGCTTAAGTGGCTCGTAAACATCCAAATGCATGGATTGCAAATAAAGGAATAAATTCAGGCAAGGTAACAGTTTTAAAGGCAAACCTATGCAGGCCTTAACAAAGGCTAGGTTAAAGCACTGGGCTGACCATACAAGCTCACACACCCCTGGTTCCCTAAGATCTCTCAAGGGAGCAGGGGCCTGTTGGGGTCTTGTCACGCTATGTGAGCCTACAGTTGACCCAGAAAACCTCATTAATTGGACATTCCATGTACTGTATATCATTTAGAAATGAAACTTTCTGAATTTATAGGGTTCCACCAAAGTTGTGCGCCTGCCACAAACACGCAGGAGTCAGCAGACATGCACTAAAGGAGAGCACAGACAAGAGGCCAGCCCCACAGCAAGAAACGAAATGCTTTAAATAAGCATATTCATGATTAAAATTCCTGTGTTGAGGGGCCGAACTTAAGTGGGCCTACGCTTGGCAGGCTACCCCGTGCGTCTCCCAATTTAGTGGCTTTTCTTATTCTGCAG